ATCTTGGTCATGCCTAGGCAAAACCAGGACATCGGATTTGAGAACAGCCCTTCCTCTTGCCTGCCATGCTAAATCTCTACCCTGTCAGGAAATAAACCCCATATCATAATTCTTCTATAACTGATTTTCCTCGGAAGGGATTACATCCAACTTGGTAACCAAGCAGTTGATATTCAGGGAAGTTTTCCCTTCTAATGAATTTGTGCCAAAATTCAGAATATCACATTACAGCATTTGCAAAAGAATAGTGTAAAGGCCAGAGGGGGTGGGGAAGAGCAATGCAGAATACTGCTCCTTAAGTCCCATCATATAGGAAATACAGACAATGTGTCTTAATCCGACCACTCAAATACCTGTCACTAACTCCATCCAGCTGTGAGTGTTCAGGTGGCAATATTAACAGATGTGTGGTTGGAATTTAGCTGTTTTGGGGGTATTTTTAATGAGATAATTCTTTATTTTTTTCTCTAGAATAAATTCCCTTTCTTTAGTTAGCCTTGATAACATTATCCAGGGTAAGTCTTGGAATGTCATCAGAAATCACAAATGATTATTTTAGCTCTTTCAACTTTTTCCTCTTCAAAGCCATTAGACAAAGCAAATAATGAGTAAATATATAGGATGTCTTGAGATTTCTTTCTTTCTTCATGGTTTATTTAGAACTAATAAAATATTAGCAGAGGTAGGCGTGGCAGCTCATGCCAGTAATCTCAGCATTTTGGGAGTCTGAGGTTGGAGGATCACTTGAGGCCAGCAGTTCAAGACCAGCTTAGGTAACACAGTGAGCTCCATCGCTACAAAAATAAAATAAATTAGCAGTGTGTATTGGCATGTGCCTCTATTTCGAGGTACTCAGGGGGCTGAGGTAGGAGAATTGCTTGAGCTCAGTAGTCTGAGGCTGCTGCAGTGAGCTATGAATGTATCACTGTACTTCAGCCTGGGTGACAGAGCAAGACCCTACCTTCAAAAAATAAATGTAGTAAATGGTAAAGTTAAAGAAAAAAATGTTAATAGCCAAATCCCTGGTTGATATTCATAGACTGAAAACATAATTTTGGAGGAAAAGAAGTGTCAGCTGAATCTTCTGTGTGTCAGTGCTCCCTCAATCTTCCCAGTGGAGGCAGTACCTATGAAGTACAAATGAAGCACCAGAAAGCTGCTCCGCTCCAGAACCAAATCTTTCCCTTGAAAGACTAAATTATCTGCTTTGTCCCTGCTGCTTTTAGAGTTGGTTATGTATATAAGGCCATGTAATAATCTTGACATCTATAACTTCTACTTGAAGAACACAACTATGCATCTTTTCCACATCCTGATAGAAGCAGACCTATCCATAGACAAGAGTCTTTGTGCATAGTTTCAACTTTCATGCACTCCAGTCACCTGGGGGGTTTGTTAAAAGGCAGATTTTGACTCCAAAAGTCGAGGATGAGACTTGAGGTTCTTCATGTCTAACAAATTCCCAGCTGATACCAAAGCTGCTGACCAGGGTCTATACCTTGAGAAGGGAGAACTACCAGAGAGCAGCGAGCTGAAGTGCCAGGGGAGAGACTTAGGATAAGGGGCCAAAAGGACTGACTTCTGTCAAAGGTAAAACTTAGCTCCCCTAGGAAAATTCCTTCAGTGGATTGTGGAACCATTTGCAAAACAAGGGCTAGTGTACTTCTCTGGTTGCCGTTTTCGTCGGCAGGCATGGGGTTCTCTGCCCATACACAGCTCCACTGAAGTCCACCGCTGTTTTGTTTGGACAGGCTGGCTCAAGTCTGAGCTTGCACACAAAGGGCTTATCACCAACACCGGCCTTTCTCTGACAGCTGTTTTTCCTTCTCAGTACCAGGGCTCTAGTCTCAGGACAGGGAAAAAAAAAGACTTGCTGGAGAAAGAAGGGGTACTATCAGCAAGCTGTGGTAGATGCCTGGCTTCAAGACCTTAAAGAGAGAGTATCTCTCCTACACACACCTCCTTACATGCACCCCAAAGATCAGCTTCTCCACTCCATCCCTGCACTAGAATAAGTATGAAATATGCAGTTTGACAAATCTATCGGTTTTGTCCATAAAAGCTGGCAAAGAAGCAGAGACTAAATTACTTCCAATAATAAAACAAGGAATTTCTATAAATTACAAGGACTGAATGTCAAGTCCTACAGAAAAAGCTGCTTGTGGGCATATGTGTCCGTGATGGAACAACACATATCCCACCAGCATGAGGTCAGGCATATGAAATCAGTGTGAGGTATATGAGTGCCACAGCTAGGAGAACTGATAAATACCAGGGTCGTTGTCAGCTGTGTAAATTAAGAGGAAAAGGCGCCTTCGTTGACTTCCTTTGGGGAAGGCTTGTTTTGTGCTGGTGAACTGCTCCCCCTGGTGGATCAGGAATCGTTATGGCCGGGATTGAATTCTGCAGGGAGAAGACTGGGCAGTTGCAGGTATCCAGCTATCCTCCCAGAAAAAAAGCTAATTTCAGAGCTCCCAGAAATACATTGAATACCTTCTTGGACCCTGATTGAGTCTGCGCGTGGCCATCCTGTGAATTGCAAAGTTTGTTTTCCCACATTATTGGCGTTGTCTTGTTTATTCTCGGTGTTATGTTTGTTTCAACATTGTGGCTCTTGCTTTAAGAGAAATGGAAAAGTCCCGTATTTTGTTTTATTTCCACTTTAAAATTAAGTCTGGATATTTACAAGTGGAATACGACCCACAGCGAGGAAAACATTTTCCTGTGAAATCATTTGTTTCCCTTACTGTCTGCTTTTAACTCATCTCTGAGGTGGTTGTGTGGATTGTGATTAATTTATGCCTCGGCCTCTTGTCCTACTTCCCTCAAGACAAAAACAAGTTTTGTGATTTTTCTCAGGATGAAATTTCTATTTTCATTATACATTTCAGAGCCAATAGAAATAGTTTGTGTTGTTTTCGTTAAATAATATTTTTGTATGCCCTGCCATGCACACAGAAGAGATTTTGCAGGTCAGGCAGAGATGAGAACCTATGGAAACTCTCTCACTCTTTTGAACATTCTGCAATGAGGATTGCAGCTTCAGTCCAAACAGTGTATAAGCTAAATAAGGAAGTATTTTAAATATTTATTTAACAAGGCATATTTTAAATAACCTACATATGTAAATAGAGCATTCTTAGCCTGTACATTATTGCCAGGTCGATTCTCATGTTCTGATATATAATTAATTACTGGTTTATTCCTCTGTAAACCGAAGCAGGGAATAATTCAGCGATGCCAGGTCACTGATGTCAGCAAAATGTAATACCCTTTGTTAGTGGGATCTGTGCAGGAGAAATCGAGACTGTAAAATCTGTGATGGTGGGTGCCAAAAAGTGTCCAAAAAACAAGTTCCTATATCCATTTTAGTTTCTTTCTCTTGATATGTAGACTTTTTCTCTATACTATTTAGTGGAATTAGAATGCACATTTTTTTTTTACACTATGCATTTTGCAAATTTATTCTATTTGGGTAGGAGATAATTTTTTTTTTTTGCATTTTAGGTTTCGGGATACATGTAAAGAACGTGCAAGATTGTTGCATAGGTACACCCATGCACATTTTTTATGTTAATGCAAACTTAGAAAGCATATACAGTCTGAACTACGTATTTTATATGTCACCTAAAGTGTCATCTAAAGTATGTTCATATCATGACCATTTTCAGCAGCATTATTATATTTAGAAACAGTAACAACACAAATATTAATCATTTTGGTAATTCTTGGCCATTAAAAAAATGAATTTTTAAATGTTTACGTAAAATCCACATGTCCATTTTTAATTTTATGAGAGAAAAATATAGTGCTATACATATATATATGTATATATATATATATATACACACACACACACACACAAATTTGGTTTTCACTTAAATGAGCACCTGTCTTTCAAATTACTAAAATCTTCTAAAGGATGAAAATTTTGAACATCAAATTTGCAAAGGGTATAGATAGTTCTAAAAAAGAAAAAGCAGGTAAAAATGTGGCACCTTTCCTCCTTAGACTTAATTCCTAATGATGTAAAATAAGTAATCATCTCAAATACCTTAGCACCTTGCTAGTGTGGGTCAGTGGAGCAACAAGCATGTTTCATTTAAACATAATACATGTGAGTTACCAAAAACCCAACTCAAAGTTCTGATTACAAGCTCTCTGAATTAGCTCTTCAACTAAATTCTAGCTAGTACATTAATGATATAAATTTATCTTGGCTCATAGCCACAACATCTGGAAAATTTAGTGTGGAAAATTATTTAAAATAATTGGCTTATGCCATCACGACATACTAACCTATTGGTTATCTCACCTTTAAACCATAATCTACTTGTTTTGCCATACAAAAAAAAGAAGATATTTTTGCTCTTCTGCATTGGGAAGAAACATTAAAACTTTGGGAAAATAAAAAATGTCAACAATAAGAAAACATAATTTTATGATTTGAATGGTCATCAGAAGCACTCTTAGATGCTGGGTCCATCTTTTCGTTGATGGTACTATTTGGTGCTTAAAAATAAGTGCCATTTCTGTAATTAACAGAATAGGGCTAGTGAGGTGTAAATTTGTCTTAGCAGCTTTTGAGCTCAGTGCTGTTGTGCAGTTGCATGAAGAAAGTTAAATGTAAAAAATGGCTGATCTGTCTATATCCTCCCCATTCCCTCTCCAGTGCAGCCCCATGAAGTATCCACTGCAATAACAACCACATACAGAAGGGCCCAGGGAATTGATTCTTTGGGGATTAGAGGTAAATTTTTAGATTTGGCATAACCTATATATTAGTTTTTAAAATGAAAATGTTAATTAAGTTTAAGCCTCCATATCAACATGGAAAACGAATTTGTCCCTTAAGAGAAATGGTAGTAATAAGATACTCAGATTATCTTCTCATTAAATATCATTATGATTGATATTTCTGTTTTCACAAATGTTCTTTTAAAAAATTTTACTGAAGATGAAGTACACATAATTTTATCCATTGTTGCTTCTGTGTACAGATAAGACTCTGGGAATTTATAGAAACAAACATCAGAAGACTGAAATGTGGAGAGAAGAAGGCTGCCTGACTAGGGAATCTCAGGAAACAAGGAAAACATCAAGGTGAGTTCCCTGACTTTTACCTTTCCCTGATGTATCTCAGATCTGGAACTCAAGGAACCAAGTATCCCAAAACAGTAATAGGCACAGACAAGAAAAGCCCCAATGAAAGCCTACTCTCTCTCTAGCCAAATGACAAGGAAAGGGGCAATCAAGCAATACAGAAGAACATTTAGATAATAACCACTCGATTCTAGCCAAATCACAAAAACTACTTAGGTGGTGTCAGAGAAGGCTGGATAGGAAGGAGGGACTTTTATCCCTTTCCCCTAACCCTGTGATATCAGAGGAAGCCACGTGGAGAGCAGTAACAAGGCACTTCTATCCCTCACATATAAGGAATTATATGGACCCTCAAACAACACTGGTTTGAAGTGCACAAGTCCACCTATATGCAGATTTTGTTAAACAAAAATGTAACAACCTCCTAGCATGTTCAGATACTCTTCTCGGTGCTTGGAAGACAATAGTAAAGAAAAACAGGCAAAGCCCCTGCTGCTGAACAGTGCAGACAAATAGGTAAAATTGCTTATATGCTAAGGGTCACAAAGGAGTGGCATGTAGCCATGTGAGAACATAGAATAGACACATCTGCCTGGCTAAGGGCTGTCAGAAAACACTTTCTTCAGAAATGAATAATTTATTTAAAATCTATGCAAATAATTAGAGTATTAATTAATTAATACTAATTAATTAGGCCAAAAGTTATCTAAGTACAGGAAACATACATGTACAGTTTATTTTATTGAGTTGAAAATTCATTTCCTTTATATGAATGTAAATCTGTTTACCACAAGCCCACTGTATCCATAAGTTCTGTAGCCAAAACTAAGGGCAGATCCAAATACAATATTCGTGGGATGCAAATCTCCATGTATACCAAGGAATAACTGCTTTATTGGAGTCCTACTGGGGAGCTGAAACCCCCACTCCTGCTCAGCAGCAACTGGGAGTTCCCTTGCAGAGGTCAACAGAAGCTGAGTTAAGAAACCGGGACTTCTATGCCACCTGGTAGTAATGAAGTGACACCCTCTTTCCTCTGCAAGAGTGATGTGAGATGAACCTAGCTAAAACAAAAGGTTTAAATAAGATTCAGAGTCTTATAATATCTAAATGTCCATATTTCAGTTGAAAATTACTCATCATACAAAAATAAGAAAGATCTAAAACTAAGTGAGAAAAGATAATAAATATAAGCCAACATCAAGATGACACAGATGTTAGAATTATCTGACAAAGCTTTAAAGCAGCCATCATAAAAATACTTCAATGAACAATTAAAACATTCTTGAAACTGGCGAAAATGTATTTGAAAAGCTTCAACAAAGCAATAGAAAGAACCAAAAACAGAAGATGTAAGAGTGAAATGGAAAAATTGGAACTCAAAAATACAATATAAAAAACTCAATGCATGGACAGAATGGAGGAGACAGAGGAAATATCAGTGACCTGGAAGAAACAATATAAATTCACCATCTATAAAACAGAGAGAAAACAGAGTGAAAAAAAGATGAAAGGAACTTCAAAGACCTTTGTGATTATAGCAAAAACAAACAAAAAACCCTAACCTTTGCATTTCCTGAGTCCTAGAAAAAAGGAAGAAGGCAGACCTGAAAAGCATTCTGACAAATAACAGTTGAAATTTGTTAAAATTTAGCAAGACATAAATACACAGATTTAAGAAGCTGAGTGAATCCCAAATAGGCTAAACTCACAGAAATCCATAGCAAGACACTCATAGTCAAACTTTTGAGAACTGAAGACAAAAAAGAAAAACAAAAACTCAATCCAGATGTCCTGCAAGGGGAAGAGGATTAAACAAACTGTGATACATGCATACTAATAGAAACAACTAACTATTGATACATAGAACTCATCTGGATGAATTGTTAAAGAATTATGGAGAGTGACAAAAATCAGTTTTAAAATGTTACATCGTGTATTGTTTTATTTACATAACAAGATGACTAAAATGACGAGATCATAGAAATGGGGACTCATTAGGGGTTAAGATGGGGTAAGGATAAGAGGGAAGAGGGAGTAGTTATAAGAGAGCAGTATGAAGGTTCCCTGTGCAGACAAAAATATTCCTTATCTTGACAGTAGCAATGTCAATATCCTGTTTGTTACACTACAGTTTTGCAAGATGTTAGCACTGGAAGGAACTGGGTAAAAGATCACTCTGCATTATCTCTTACAACTGCAAATAAATCCACAACTATCCTAAAATAGAAAGTTCAATTTACAAATAAAGTTCTGCAAGTCTTATAACTCAGTGGCTACATAACTCAGGACTCAGACATAAAGAATTTTGCCTTTGTATGTACCTATGTAACCCTGGGCAAGTATTCAGCCAGTCTGAGCCTACTTTCTTGTCAGTTAAATGGGCATAATGATAGCTACCTTACTTATTAATATTTCATCAACTGTAGTCAGGATGAAATAAAAATGAAATAATGATCAGGAAGGGCCTCTTTTTTATTGTTCTTATGAACTTTTATTAAAATGTCTATTAGAGTTCAAGGCTCCCAACACAACTAGAGAGACATTGATACAACAACTGGTGGTTGGCAGGAAATACCTGGCTGCTTGTAGAACTTAGACTATATGAGTGATATGTAATCCTAGCACTTTGGGAGGCTGAAGCGAGTGGATCACCTGAGGTCAGAAGCTTGAGACCAGCCTGGCCAACATGGTGAAAACCTGTCTCTACTAAAAACACAGAAGTTAGCTGGGCATAGTGGTGCTTACCTGTAATCCCAGCTACTAGGGAGGCTGAGGCACAAAAATCACTTGAACCTGGGAGATGGAGATTGTAGTGAGCTGAGATCAAGCTATTGCACTCCAGCCTGGGCGACAAGAGCAAAACTCTGTCTCAGAAAAGAAAAAAAAAAGAGTGGTAACTCTTTTAATTCTAAGACTAAATGAGTGTTAAAATATGTAAAGGTTTTACAGTCTGTCAACATAGATCAGAACTATTAGAAAAGGGAAATTAGCTAGGTGTAGTGGTATGTGTCTGTAGTCCCAGCTGCTTGGGAGGCTGAGACAGGAGGCTTGTTTGAGCACAGGAGGTTGAAGCTGCTGTGAACTATAATCGTGCCACTGCACTCTAGCCTGGGCAATAGAGCAAGACCCTGTCTCTAGGAGAAAAAAAAAAAAGAAGAAGAAGGTTTTCTAAGGAAAAACTTCATAATTTGTAGACATAAGAAGTACAAGTGCAGTTTTGTTATGTGAATATAATGGTGAGTATTGGTGAAGTCTGGTATTTTAGTGTAACCATCACCCAAATTGTTTCCTTTATACAAGAAAGGGCTTCTTGTCTCTTCAAGTACCACAAGAGAAAGAATTCATCTTTGCTGGATGCTACTGTGTGCGAGGCTCTAAGCTAAGCTGAATGCATGTTTTTACTTTATAATCTATTTCTTGGTATTTTACGTGGAATCTTTAAAAGCATGGCTCCATAGCTGAATGGCAGAGCATGCGATATTTAACAAAGCACCCTAAAGAGAAATTCCCATCTTTTATCATATCGTCCTCAGGCATTCAAGAGTTTCCAAGTTCAGAGGCTACAGTAAACTCTTAATCCCTGACCTCTTCAACACTCTGAAACTTCAGATATCCTCTCATTCACCTTTCCTTAAACATGCTAAATCTAACCTTCCACCTTGGTTCCTCAGTGTCCTTTCCCTTGCTTGCTGTGCACAGCTTAAAGAGATGAGCTACACCAACAACCAGCCTCCCTACTGTGCAGTTTCTCCTTTGCACTACTTGCTTTCTAGAGGACAATCGCTCTACAAGGCTTGGTCCTTTTTCTCTTTACAGCACCTCCCTAATATTGTGCCTCTAGACTGCGAAAAGACAGAAGAGTTTGCAGCTAGATGTTGCTGTCTTCTTTTTAATACAACACATCTCATGTATTATCACAATTTACAACTGAGAAAATGTTAGTCATCTACTGAGAACATACAGCTATGTTAGCTTGGGAGATTTAGAAAATGTTTAATTAACAAAGAGATGACTGTTCCATATTTTGCATGAATTTGTTTTCTGTTTTCTGGTTTTTGCTATGAGACTCTATCACAAAGAATCCATTTATTTGCTGATTCATTCACTTGTTGATTCATTCATTTATTCATTTCATCATGCATTCATCAATGACCTAACACCCACTAACTGCAAGGCTCTGTAATAGACCCCAGGGATATGAAGCTGAACAAAAGATAATCTGGAGAGATTCACATGAAACAATAAAATTAGAATATGGTTCCTGATGTATCAAGGCATGAAGGTATAATGACAACATAGAAAAAGAAGCACTTCACTATGGAGCCATCAGGGCACCTGGAGAGCATGGCAAACTCAGATGCCTGCAGGGGCCAGGCATATAACAAACTCCCATGCTGGGGAGTACAAGGAATTGCCCTGATGAAATCTGATTGAATAAATAAATAGAAGTAGAACTCCTGTTCTAGGGGCTAGGGACATTATGCATAAGAATGGTATTCTGTGGGCTCCATCTTCAACAATTAGCTCAACTGACTATTTGTCATCATATCCAATGAAACCCTACTACCTCTCCTCATGCCACAGGCAGCAGCCTCCTATTTAGTCTCCCTGTTTCCCCTCTTGCCATCTTTAGTCTTGTTTACTTGTAAATCAGAGGGAGATGAGGGAGATGTAATGCATAAGTTCATGCAAGTTCTTCAGCCAATGGCTGTCACTGAGAGATGAAGCCAAAGCCTTTATATTTGAAAGCACATTTCCTAGATTAACATTAGAATACTCTATGCAGTATTTTTAAAAAATTCTCAGTGGATAACTCCCATTCTGGATGAATTCTGCACCCTAAAATTGTGGATGATACAAGGTGGTTATCAAGCTGTGGGCAATCCATCAGCTCACTCCCTCACTTGTTTTTACTCTGTGCAATGTGGCCTTTGCACAGAGACCTTTGCTGACCACTCTGTCCATGCATCACTCTTCTTTCACATCTTTGCTTTCTTCATAGCACTCTTCACAATCCATGTACTCTGTTACTGGGTTAACGTACTTTATAGTCCATCTTTCTCCATGAGAAGATGTCTGAGAGAAGAGTTCAGGGACTTTACCTGTTTTGTTTACTGTCCTACTCCAGTGCCTGTGGAAGTAACTGACACTCACGCCTGTAAACCCAGCACTTGGGGAGGCTGAGGCGGGGGGAATCACCTGAGGTCAGGAGTTCGAGACCAGCCTGGCCAACATGGTGAAACTCCATCTCTACTAAACACACAAATATTAGCCAGGCATGGTCGTGGGTGCCTGTAATCCCAGCTACTCTGGAGGCTGAGGCAGGAGAATTGCTTGAACCCAGGAGGCGGAGATTACAGGGAGCCGAGATCATGCCACTGCACTCCAGCATGGGCAAAAGAGCAACACTCTGCCTCAAAAAAAAAAAAAAAAAAAGGTGCCTGGCACATAGAAGGCATTAAATAAATAATATTTAAAACAAACTGAATGGACAATGACAAACTGAAGAAGAGTTCAGGATGTTCAAGGGAAATGGAGGGAAGCTGATTGAGAGTAGAAACAAGCAACAGGAAATAATCCAGGAAAGGGAAGGAGGTTTGATGGAAAATAAGAAGCTAGGATATTTTTCCTTAAGAAGGTAAGAAGCCTTAACCATTTTAAACAGGAGATTTTCACAGCCAGATTTGTTTTTTTAGAAAACTCAGTGTTGGCTGGGCGAGGTGGCTCAGGCCTGTAATTCCAGCACTTTGGGAGGCTGAGGTGGGCGGATCACCTGAGGTCAGGTGTTTGAGACCAGCCTGGCCAACCTGGAGAAACCCATCCCTACCAAAAATACAAAAATTAGCTGGGTGTGGTGGTAGGCACCTGTAATCCCAGGTACTCGGGAGGAGGCGGCAGGAGAATCGCTTGAACCAGGAAGGTGGAGGGTGCAGTGAGTCAAGAACACGTCATTACACTCCAGCTTGGACGATAAGTGGAAAAAAAAAAAAAAAACAAGAAAAAAAAAAACAAGAAAATTCCATCTTGCTGAATTTGGGAAGATAGACTAGAAATGCAGATACCTGTTAGGAGACTCTTGTAATCCTAATGAGAAGAATCTGAACAAAATGGTGGCATGTTTCAACATCACAGTATGTAAATAAATGGAAATTGAACTACACATGGCTTTGTTTTGCCTTACTGGATATCAGACATAACCCTGAAGAGTGAATGGTCACTTGCAATTAAGCTTATAAGCAAATAAGTGCATGGCTTCTCTCTTGTAAAAACTCAGGTTTGTCTTTGGGGCTCTCTCTCTAGTCTGGCTTAAAAAATACAAATTAAGGTAGGCTTTAAAAAGACAAGCTTAGGCCAGGCACGGTAGTCCCAGTACTTTAGGAGGCTGAAGTGGTGGATTGCTAGGAAAGGAGTTCGAAACTAGCCTGGCCAACATGGTGAAACCCCGTCTGTACTGAAGATACAAAAATGAACTGGGCATGGTGGCATGTGCCTATAATCCCAGCTACTTGGGAGGCTGAGGCAGGAGAATCACTTGAACCCGAGAGGTGGAGGTTGCAGTGAGTCGAGATCCAGCCATTGCACTCCAGTCTGGATGACAGGGTGAGTCTCTGTCTCAAAAAAAAAAGACATGCTTAAAACATTTTCAGAAACCAAACAGAGGTCACTGAAGCCCCTCTAGGCCCCTTCTATTCCCATGTTCTATTCCCCATGGGTGGCCTATGTGATCCTTGTTTGTCTTCATTTATAAACTTGCCTCCTAGGCCATTCTGCACATTTCTCATCCCAATGTGAAAAAGTGCTACGGAATGTCTGTTCTAAATGTTTTCTAATTTCCATTTATGCTTCATTGTCCTATAATCTGTTCAAAGCTGAAAATAGAACTAAGGTATGATCTCAGCATAACCTTTAGCAATTAATTTTATTACTATTTTTTTTCTAACTGAACAAACTCATAATAAATAAGAAAAGCTTTATCTGTAAAATAACCCCAAAATAGACCTCCACCTTTTACCCTACATCCTTCTCTAAATTGCTAAGCCAGTATTAAGTAGAGTCTCCTCCACCCCCGCCCTTCCTTCCTTCAACCCAATATTACTTTGGTTAAAGAAGTAAATCTAATTAAAGGAGCATGGGAAATGGAAGCCGTTTTGTGAGTTAAAGAAGCTGGCTCTGTGTATCTTTCACCAGTGATTGGGCTTACAAGATGGAAAATTCCATACACTGCTAAGCAAAGTGCTCTCAATGTTGTTGCAACATCTGCTTTTCTTTGTGTAAAATCTTTTCCATGGGGTGGGTGAAGATTTTTATTCTAATTGAATTTGTAGTTAATTCCAGATAAAAAGAAGTTGGGTTTTTGTTTTTTTGTTTTTTTTTGCTGATGCTGCTCAAATCAGGGGTCCTAGGCCCATCTCTCAAAGCCCATTTTTACCCAAAATTAATCAAAAGGAGTTGCAGGTGCTTTGGATCAAGTGACCTTACATTTGTTTATATTTTTAGAAGAAAATACTTAGATTCACTTAATTTCTGATTTGGTCTTTTAAATTCTTTGTGACAGGAGAACGAACTCCTGTTTCTTAGATGCAATGTTTCTAACCCATTAAGCAAGGACATGGATGGGCTTTGGTTTGAAGATAGCTTACTACCCTCTTTGACAATATTAACGTAGTGTTAATTGATCATGATAGCAAATATGTTTATGATCCTAAACCATTCTAAAGAAACTTAGAAACTAAGGAGTCAGTCTTCCAATAGTTCTTGCAATATTTGCTAAACAAATTAATAAATGAACAAAAGAAAGAATAAAATATAATACCTATCAGCTCCCAGTGGCTTTGCCATGCCACCTACTTAATAGTCTTCTGCCTGTCATAGTGGCCTTTGGCAATGAGTGATTTCCATCAGCTTGTATTTTGGATGTTATGAAATAAGAGAAGACTATTCAATTACAATTACTCTTTTTTCCCAACCAACCTTGATAAATGAATGAACCCTCCTCTCCTCTCCTCTCGCAGCTACATATATTTGGGACAATAAAATAGAAAGTAAAACCAGGACTGAGAACCAGAAGTAGCTAGAATCCATCCCTGTACCTTGTTGGGGTCACTTAACAAAGCTCACTTCGTATCTTCTACAGAGGGTTTGGACTCAGAGAAAGGGTAACAACTCCTTCCCTCCCCAGAAGTGGGGGTGAAGATGTCCACTAAAAGCCATGGGTAAAATACATTAATGTAATCTTGACATTTTCAGAGGTATTGTGTTATTAATATTACTGATATTGACTAACCCTTGTGAATGTTTACCATTTCTTATCAAAATGCATGGATTTTAACGTTTCCTCCTTGAGGGTTCTGCCCTGATTCTTGCAGTTGAGTTAGTTGTCCTTGGTCTGGACCCTTTAATATACAGAACATATTTCTTTATCTATCACTGTATATTTTTTATCTGCTGTGACCTTTATAGACACATTCTTTCCCCAGAAATCTGCTTATTTTATCAATTCCAGGACAGAAGGAATATTACTAATTTATTCTTAAAAGTCATCAGATACTCATCAATGATTTATCAATGAATGAACTCAAATAGTTGTAGAAGATTTCCTAGGGGAAAAAAATGCATCTCTCTCATCTGGCCAAAGTTGTAAGCCATCATAGGTAATAATGAGAAATGTTGGCTATGTTAGGTCAAATTAAATACAGTAAGAAAATAAAAACCCGTCTTAGAATAATGGTAGATTAATTCCATTTTTTTTGTAATAGAGATAATACTGCAATGGACATTCATAGAAAAAAATGTTAAGTGCATTTCTAGTTGTAGTTTTCATTTCATAGAAATAAATTACTGGACCAGGGCCGGGCGCGGTGGCTCACACCTGTAATCCCAGCACTTTGGGAGGCTGAGGCGGGTGGATCACGAGGTCAAGAGATCAAGACCATTTTGGCCAACATAGTGAAACCCCGTCTCTACTAAAATATAAAAAATTAGCTGGGCGTGGCACACGGGAGGCTGAGGCAGGAGAATTGCTTGAACCTGGGAGGTGGAGGTTGCAGTGAGCGGAGATTGTGCCACTGCACTCCAGCCTGGTGCCTGGTGACAGAACCAGACTCTATCTCAAAAAAAAAAAAAAAAAAAAAAAATTACTGGATCAAAGCAGGATACGAACCTCAATTTTGCACAATTTCATTGGCATTGCAATTAAGCATATTAAGTAAATGTAAAATATTTTTACCTCTCTCTCTACATATATATGTGTGTGTATGTGTGTATCTATATACATACATGTGTATGCATAGGTGCGTATACTTTCCTAGCCTTGGCTTTAGCTTCCTACCCTTGATTAGCTTCATATTGTGATTTCTTTCAGTGAATGTGCAGTTAGAAGATATGTAAGAGGGATTTAAAATGAGAATTCATGGTTGGTCATACTTTCTTGTATTTATTCCATCCCCTGAAGAATATAGGCCCCGCTCTGCCTGATGGTCACAGGAGCAGGATAAGCCAACTTGCACCGTGAAGCTGAGTCACCTTGGCTGACTGAGCAATAAGTAAGTACTTATTGATATATGGCACTAAGAGTAGAGATTATTTGGTACATAGTAACAGCTGACTGATACACACCTTAAAACAGGCCTGTTATTGAGGATATACAACAAGGAATAAAAACACAAGTTTTTATGTAACTTATACTTCATTGAGGAAAAATGTATATCTAGAATAATGGTATTCATATCTGTAATGTCAGTTGGTGATTTGATTTGAAGAAAAAATAAATCAATAAGAATAGAAAATGGCATTTGAGGAATACATTTCTTTGATTGCTACTGAAATGGAATATTTTGCATTTCCTTTCTGAAATTTGCCTCCTAATGTGCTTTACAATTTTTCCTTAGAGTATTCATCTTTTTCTAATTTGTAGTTATTTTCATATGTTAGTTATGTTACCCATTTACATATATGGGCTATTAAAGTGTCACAAATGTTTTTCTTAATTTGATTAAAATGTTATATTGTTAAACCAAAAATCTTCAAATTATAATTTAATAGTCTTTTGTTTTATGCTTTACTGCATATTTAGAAATGTTTTATATTTTAATTTTTACATTTAACCATAATAGTTATTTATTTAAGTCCATAATGTGAGGTGAGAAGCTAATCCTCTTCTCAGCCTTGAAAAAAGTTTCTATCATCAAAGCTTAATTAATCCAATTTCTCCCAGTTGATGTTAAATGGTACCACTGCAAGCTATCAAAAATTGGGTGGTATATACTGCTACTGCTGGATAATATACAGCCAGTAATAATCTGCCTTAATGATATTAAATGGCATTAAGAAGTATGTATAAAATTACTTTCTATGAATGAAAGCAGATAACACATATGACAAAATTTGTTGCTATTCCTGTAAAATCAATATACACACAAATACATGGGAGGGAGATTAGAACAAACTCCAAAATATTAATAACCTTTCACTCTAAGTAAATAGAGGAATAATGAGTAATCTGTATTACTTTATCACTCTTTTCTATACTTCCTGATCTAGAGTAAGCACAAAATACTTCTATAAGCACAAAAAAGTTTAAAAATAATTTTGGCTGGGTGCGGTGACTCACACCTGTAATCCTAACATTTTGGGAGGCTGAGGTGGGCAGATCACCCGAGGTCAGGAGTTCGAGACCAGCCTGGCTAACATGGAGAAACCCCGTCTCTACTAAAAATACAAAATTAGCTAGGCGTGGTGGCAAATTCCTGTAATCCCAGCTACTCAGGAGGCTGAGGCAGGAGAAATGTTTAAACCCAGGAGGCAGAGGTTGTGGTGAGCTGAGATGGTGCCATTGCACTCTAGCCTGGGCAACAAGAGTGAAACTCCATCTTAAAAAATAACTAACTAAATAATTTTAGAAGAAAACAAAAACAAACTAGTACTGCAATAACTGAAAAAATTTTATTAACCAGGACCTAAGGTATTTTCTCTTTCTTAACTGCATTTTAAATAAAACAGCCAATTATTTGTTGAAATCTTTATTGAACAAGAAACCTTCAGTTTGCACTTAGGAAAAAAATTAATTTAAATATCCTTCCCTTCTTGTTCTAGGGAGTGATTTCCCAATCTCCCTACTACTATTTTCAGGAATCGGGTCTATATTTTGTTTTAAGTATAGGTAATTCCTGATATCTTCACAGAAATGAGGCAGGACTAAAAGCTGCTGCCTATGTGCAGTAGCACTCTTTGCTTAGAGAAATAAATGTATATAGGGTGTGTGTGTGTGTGTGTGTGTGTGTGTGTGTGTGTGTGTGCATGTGTGGTATAATGTTGATATTTGTCCCCACCCAAATCTCATGTTGAATTGTAATCCTCAGTGCTGGAGATGGGACCTGGTAGGAGGTGTCTGGATCATGGAGGGGGATCCCTTGTGGCTTCGTGCTGTCTGCGTGAGTTCTTGCAAGACCTGGCCATTTAAAAGTGAGTGGCATCTCCCCCTTCACTCTCTCTCTCCTGTTTAATACTGTTTTCACCATGTTACATCCCTACTCCCTTCTGCCTTCAACCATGATTGTAAACTTCCTGAGGTCTACCTAGAAACTGAGAAAATGCCAGAACCATGCTTCCTGTGAAGCCTGCAGAACTATGAGCAAAATAAACCATTTTTCTTTATAAATTACCTTGACTCAGGTATTTCTTTATAGCAATGCAAGAGCAGCCTAACACAGAAAATTGGTGTCAAAGACTGAAGTATTGCTATAAATTTACCTGAAAATGCAGGAGTAGCTATGGAACCGGGTAACCAGCAGAGGCTGAAATACTTAGGAGGGCTCAGAAGAAGGCAGGAAGATAAGGCTAAGCTTACGGCTTCTTAGAGACTAAGTGGTTATGACCAAAATGCTGACAGTGATATGGAAAATGAAGTCCAGACTGTCAAAATCTCAGATGAAAATGAGGAGCTTATTGGGAACTGGAGAAAAGTTCATGCATGCTATGCCTTAGCAAAGATCTTGGCTGCATTTTGTCCATCCTCTAGGGATCTATGGAAGTTTGACCTAAAGAGTAACAACCTAGGGCATTTGTCAGAGGAAACTTTCAGGCAGCAAAGCATGCTGGTTACTTCCAACAGCCTATGCTCAGATGTAGGAGCAAATAAATGACTTCAAGTTTAGAAAATTTGCAGCCTGGCTATGTGGCAGAGGAAGAAAATTTTTTTTCAGGAACGGAATTCAAGCAGGCTTTAGGGTAACTACTTGTTACAGATACTTGTATAATTAAAAGGGAGCCAAGTGCTAATATCTAAGAAAATGGGATAAAGGCCTTGAAGGCATTTCAAAGACATTCAAGGTATGCCCTCCCATCACTGTCCCTGAAGCCTAGGAGGAAAGAATGTTTTGCTGGGCCAGGCCCAGGTCTGCTGCCCTGTGCAGCCTCAAGACACAGCGCTCCACTTTCAAGCTGCTCCACCTCCAGTCTCAGCTCAAAGGGCCTCAGATACTGCTTGTGTCGCCACTCCGGAGAGTACAAGCAAGCCATTATAAGCCTTAGCAGTTTCCACGTGGTATTAAGCCTATGAGTGCAGAGACTGCAAGAGTCAGTGAGGCTTGGCACACTCCAGTTTGATTTCAGAAGGCATATAGAAAAGCCTGGGGCCGGGCGCAGTGGCTCACGCCTGTAATCCCAGCACTTTGGAAGGCCAAGGTGGGTGGATCACGAGGTCAAGAGATCGAGACCATCCTGGTCAACATGGTGAAACCTCGTCTCTACTAAAAATACAAAAAATCAGCTGAGCATGGTGGCACGTGCCTGTAATCCCAGCTACTCAGGAGGCTGAGGCAGGAGAATTGCCTGAACCCAGGAGGCAGAGGTTGCGGCGAGCTGAGATCACGCCATTGCACTCCAGCCTGGTTAACAAGAGTGAAACTCCATCTCAAAAAATAAATAAATAAATAAAATTTTAAAAATAAAAATAAAAGCCTGGATGTCCAAGCAGAAGCCTGCAGCAGGGACAGAGCCCCCACAGGGAACCTCTACTAATGCAATGCCATGGGGGAAATGTGAGGTTGGAGGCACACACAAAAGCACTGCCTAATGGAATTACGAGAAGGAGGCAACTTCCCCCAGACCCAAGAATGAGATCCACCTGCAGCTTGCACCCTGTACCGGGAAAAGCCACATGTGCCCAACAACCTGTGAGAGCAGCTGCAGAGGCAGAACCCTGCAACATCCCAGAGGCAGAGCTGCCCAATGCCTTGGGAGCCCATTCTTTGCTCCAGTGAGCCCTGGATGTGGAACATGGAGTCAAAGTAGATTTAAGATTTAATGACTACCCTGTTGGGTTTCAAAATTACATGGGGCCTATAGCCCCTTTCTTTTGGCCAATTTCTCCCTTTTGAAACTGGAATGTTTACTGAATGCTTCTTTGCTTCTATCTCCATTGTATTTTTTTTTTTTTTTTTTTAGATGGAGTATTGCTCTGTCACCCAGGCTGGAGTTCAGTGGCACAATCCCAGCTCACTGCAACCTCCACCTCCCAGGTTCAAGCAATTCTCCTGCCTCAGCCTCTCAAGTAGCTGGGATTACAGGTGTGGGGCACCACACCCAGCTAATTTTTGTATTTTTTCAGTAGAGGCGGGGTTTCACCATGTTGGCCAGGCTGGTCTCAAACTCCTGACCTCAAGAGATCCACCTGCCTCAGCCTACCAAAATGCTGGGATTATAGACGTGAGCCACTGTGCCCAGACTCTCCACTGTATTTTGAAAGTAACTACTTGTTTCTGATTTTACAGCCTTATAGGTGGAAGACATTTGCCTTGTCTCAGATGAGACTTTGGACTTTTGAGTTAATACTGGAATGAGTTAAGATGGGGTGAAACCCCTTCTCCACCAAAAATAAAAACATTTTGCAATGTGAGAGGACATGAGATTTGGGAGGTGCTAAGGGCAGAGTAATGTGGTTTGGATATTTGGCCCTGCTAGAATCTCATGTTGAACTGTAATCTCCAATGATGGAAGTGGGGACTGTTGAGAGGTGTTTGGATCACGGGGATGGATCCCTTATGGCTTGGTGTCATCTTCATGGTAGTGAGTTCTCAAGAGATCTGGTCATTTAGAAGCATGTGGCACTTCTCCCCTGACTCCATCTCTATTGCTTGCTCCTGCTTTCACCATGGGACATGCCTACTCAACTCCACCTTCTGTCATGATTGTAAGCTTCTGGAGACCTTCCTAGAAGCCAAGTAAATGCCAGCCCCATGACTTCTGTAAAGCAAACAGAACTGTCAGCCAATTGAAGATGTTTTGAAAAATAAATTACCCAGTCTTGGATATATCTTTATAGCAATGCAAGAATCAACTAGGTTGGGCACAGTGGCTCACACCTATAATCCCAGCAATTTGGGAGGCCGAAGAGAATAGATCACCTGAGGTGAGGTGTGCAAAACCAGCCTGGCCAACATTGTGAAGCCCTATCTCCATGAAAAATACAAAAATTGGCCAGGAGTGGTTTTACATGCCTATAATCCCAGCTACTTGGGAGGCTGAGGCATGAGAGTTGCTTGAGTCCAGGAGGTGGAGGTTGCAGTGAGCCAAGACTGAGTCATGCACTCCAGCCTAGGCAACACTATGAGACTGTCTCAAAAAAAAAAAAAAAAAAAAAAACCAGAATGGCCTAACACTGTGTGTGTGTTTTTGTATACACACATACATATATTTTTAGTGATAGTGTCTCATTCTGTTGCCCAAGCTAGGGTAGTGGCACCATCATAGCTCATGTAACCTCAACCTCATAGGCTCAAACAATCCTCCTAATTGCTTAGGCCTCCTGATTACTTAGGACTGTGGACCTGCACCACTATGTCTGGCTATTTTATCTGTAGAGATGGGGGTCTTGCTATGTTGCCCAGGTTGGTCTTGAACTTTTTGTCTCAAGCAATCTTCCTGCCTCCACCACTCCTAAAGTTCTGGGGTTGCAGGCATGGGCCATGATGCCCAGCCAGAAATAAATTTATATTAATGTTCCTCTTTCTTTCCTAGAGTGGTCATCTATGGATTGCAGAGAGAGCATCTACATTTGTTGGGAAGTTAGGCTCCATTTCTTCTGAGGACCCACTCAAGCTGTAGTTGGACACTTCTGAAAATTATCAAGACAAGGCTTGGAGCAGGCCAGCCTCTGAGTGGCTGCTCTCTTGCAGGAAAGCCTAAGCCTGAGAATGGAAATATTTACAACATGGGGGAAGAAAACCTGGCTTCCTTGCTCCATCACAGAAACACATCTTAACACATCCGAGGTCATGAGCTAATAAGGAAAAGGAATTAACTACAGCCTCTCCTGCCACATGTCAAAGTTGATTCTACTCTAGATGAGTCTTAATTATGCCAGTGAAGTATAAAGTTTAATAGAAAGAATGTGTTCCTGAAACTGTAACTTTCATTGTAATGACTAGGAAAGATTTAAAGTAAACTGTGCTTTACATGTGATGAGCTTAATTTGAAGCTACAGAATTAATTTTTGATGCAAAAAACTCTATATCTCTCTTAAAACAGTGGCTGCCTTATTGTCATTTCCTGTATATGAAATATCTCACCCTAGGGAGAATCCACATCTAGAAAATATTTACCCTCTCATTTTCTGAACCTGAGATCTTTTTATACTACATTTTTAACTCAAATTTATTCTCTTTGCAGAGGATATAAAGCCTTTCTTTCTTTCTCTTTCTTTCTTTCCTTTCTCTCTCTCTCCCTTTCTTCCCTCCCTTCCCTTGCCTTCCCTTCCCTTGCCTCCCCTTCCCTCCCCTCCCCTCCCCTTCTCTCTCCTCCTCTCCTCCCTTTCCTTCCCCTCCCTCCCTTCCCCTCCTCTTCCCTCCTCTTCTTTTTTTCTTCCCTTCCCTTTCCTTTCTTCCTTCCATGATGACTCAAGAAATTAAGAACATGTTCAAGGTCACATCACTTATAAGTGACTGAACTGGGACTCAAACCAAGTTCTTTCTTACACTAACACTAGACAATCTTCCTAAATACTACATCTCATCCTATAAGGGCAATCAAAATCAGATCTCATTCATTTTACTAGTGAATTATATTATTTTCATGGAGCTACATATATGAATAATATAGATAATTGCTTATGTTAATAAGTAATTGCTTATGCTAAGTAACAATGTTAATAACAAATTTGATCTAAATATTAGTCTTCATATTTGGGCATGACTGCCTACATAAATTATTTGTTTTGTGGGTTACCAGATTAACAGTATGTTAGCCAATCTCTCTGTTTTTAATTCTCATCATTAAGTTTTTTGGGTTAAAATTTTTATTTAGGAGAACTCTGCTAAACTACAAAACTATAGGATTTAACAGGCAATTATGCTATTGTCACATAATGATATATGCACTTCAGTTTTTCAGATTAGATGATTGTTATCTTGAAGGGAGGAAAAGAAGAGAGAATTGGAAACAATTCTCAAAAATAAGGAGTTACGGTAAAAATTCAGAGGTTATAATGTTAGCCAAGAGGGCTGGGGATGTCTTAGAAAATAGTCACTAGGTACCTAAAAGAAGATGGTTGAAAAGGACAAAGCATTAAAAGAACTGGTAGAACAGTTACTGAATTCAGATTTCACTTTTGAAGACTCTGTACTAGCAAACAACCAAAAATGAGCTTTTCGAGTTTCGAGTAGAGTGGGTTTCACTGTGTGGTCTTCAGCAAGTCATAACTTCCCCAAATGTTTATTTCCCCATGGGGCTATTAATAACAACATTCAGATATCAAGGGGTTGTTGAAAAATTCAAATAAAGCAATGTGTGAAGTAATATTCTACAGCTGATACTGTAAACACCATTCAGTAATATTTTAATATGGCCGGGAGTGGTGACTCATGCCTATAATCCCAGCACTTTGGGAGGCCAAGGTGGGTGGATGACGAGGTCAGGAGTTCGAGATCAACCTGGCCAATATGGTGAAACGCCATCTCTACTAAAACTATAAAAATTAGCCGGGTGTGGTGGCATGGACTATAGTCCCAGCTGCTCTGCAGGCTGAGGCAGCAGTTTTGCTTGAACCCCCAGCAGGCAGAGGTTGCAGTGAGCCTATATTGTACCACTGCACTCCAGTTTGGGTGATGGAGCAAGACTCTGTCTCAAAATGTGTGTGTGTGTGTGTGTGTGTGTGTGTGTGTGTATTAGTGAAATCTGCATCTATGAAATGAAACAAAAGGATGAATAAAGAAAATTCGTGCAGGTTAATAGTCACTAATTAGAGCTTTTTAAAAAATCAAATTCCATTAGTTTATCTTCTGAACTCTACATTCTGATGAAGGGAGAAGCAAAGCCTCTTTTATATTTAAATTCTCATGACATATTTTGTGTCAGATTGATTATAAACTTGCAACTGACTCGTCAAATTTTGAGCTGGAGGGAGGCCCTTCCATATACCTGCAATTCCCATTGGATAACTGAAAGTGTTTCTCCTTTCTCTTTGATATGATAAATTCCTGAAAGCCATTAGTGATTTAGGGACCTTTCTGAAGAAACTCTCTCCTTGAATAGGAAAGCAGCATTAATGTTTTTAAACAGTCACTGGCTGCTTACAGCTAAGGAGCAGCATCAGCAACAGCAAGAAAATTATTCTAAGTAAGACGGAATCAACTAAGAATTTCCAAACTTTATTTTATTTTTTTTTTTTCAGGAAACCAGATGGGAACTGATCATTGACATTTTCCAAATGAGGCATCAGTAGGGGCAAGCAAGTGGGGATAAAGATTCCAGACCTGCCTAAATTCAACCTAACATCAACTTTAGCAGCAGATACGGGGCAGTTAAAAGTCCAGGCAGCCATTACTTTATCTTTACAGTATACCTATTCCTTTAAGGGACTTTGCTTTTGTTATTTTTAACTTGAAGAAAAAAAAAACAGTTAGTGTTTTTCTTTTCAAATAATTAAAGGGAAAGGAAGTCTAAAGAGAGGCTGAGTGACATCCAATATTCCCAAATACTCTCTTGTTGCTTTAGGTGACTGGTACACTTAATTAAGGAGGGTCCTGGGTCTATCATCGACCAGGGCCTGACCTGTGAGTGGGAGGGATTGAGCTGTAACCTGACCGAGCCCAGGTGTGTGCCTGCAGGTCATACACTGGGAAAACATGTGGCCTCAGTAAGCCCTTCCCAAGCCTGACCATGCCTTTAACTATTTCGAGTCTTTCTCAAGTGTTCACAATGTCACATTCTTAGACTTTGTCAGCATGCTTTCCTCTACATTAACAATTTCAAGTTGGAAAAGGAAATGCATAAGGTGAAGAGACTTGTTTCAGGTGATAGAGTCTAAGAAGGTGGAGAATACAACCCAACTCTTATGGCTTCTAGTCACTGCTCAGTTCAGACAGCACAGTCTCATCTAGCAGGCCAATTCTCACTCATTCACTAACACCAGTCACTGAAAAGTTTTCCTCCCCTACAACAGCATCTATTTGCTTTATCTCTCCTTCTTTCCTTTCTTCCTTCCTTCCTTTCTTCCTCTCCTTCCCTTTTTCACTCTCCCCCTCTCTCCTTCCTCTTTCTCCTTTTTTCTCGCTCCCTCTCTTCCTTTGTGTTTTCTTCCTTTCCCCCCTCTCTCTTTCTTTCCCTCCTTTCCTCTCTTTCCCTTTATTTTCTTTCATTCTTATCATAGGCAAAGTAAACTTTGCCGTCACCATGTTTCAGGAAACTCAGTTCTTGTGTATCCGGCCCATGGTGATGAGGAAAACACAACGGGCAATGATTTTTGTTCTCTCTAAATTTCCCTGTTCTATAAGAATTATTTGCTGACAGAAGAACTGTATATGGGAGTGGCTCCAAAACCCTGTATACACACAGCATTAGTGGGAAAATAAAATGTCTTCCCTGTGGACAATTCTATTATCAATTATCTATGAGTGACAAGACATAGTATTTATAGGACAAAAAACATGAAAAATAAATTATCTTACCTGACATCAACAGAGAATGCATCATTTTTACATAAAGAATTATCTGTATTCTGAACGTCTGAGTGATTTGCATTTCAACTTTTTATCTGTAATTCTGTTTATAGAAAATATTCTAAAACTAGTTAACACATTTCCCTTAGTTTTTAAATAAAATAAAATGACCTTATGTTGGAGAACATTTTCATAAAGAATATTAATAATCTAATTCTTCTCCAACTAGTACCTTAAAACCAAGGTCAATACTGGTTGACATCCTTTCAAAATATCATGTGAATACCCTTAGCAGCCATTAAGGAACAGATCCCTGTTTAGCTGAAGCCCACTTGAACTCCAGGGGTGGCCTGCTAACACACTCAGGCCCGATACTCTAGTTTCTCTTTGCTGAACAGCATATAGGATAGAACATATGCATTTGGGTCACAAGGCCCTGACTGAAAATTCACTTACTATGTGTGAAATTAAGGCAAGTTAAGTAACCTGTAAGAGCTTCGACTCACACGTACAGTGAGAATAAAAATGACTACTCAACAGATTGTTGACAATAGATAATGCACTAACAAAGTACACTATTCACGTTAGTATCTCTAACTGGTAAATGCTCAATGAGCATTCACTCCTGTGCTCTTCTACTCTCTGATGTCAGATGCTGCTCACTTACAGGAGAGTGTCTACTGTCATTAACTCTGTATTGCATTCTACTGTTCTCCTTTACACTGCTTTTTCTCTTTTCTTCTTCTCCTGTTTATTTTTGTTTCCTTTTGCACCCAAATAACTTTTTTCTATAAGAAGTAGTAACAACTAGAATGTTCTAAGCCTTCTGATCAGTGAACTGGTTCATTGGTGTCCTGGCTTCTCATCAGTTCTTTTTATGTTCAGATCCCCACTGACTTCTCAAAGTTGACTTCCAAATGGTCCAAAGGATCCATTTGGACCATTGGGAATTGTTTTGCTATAGCTTTACTCAAAACCCCCAGGACTCCCATACACACCTATACATTTGGTTACTGTAAACCTTAGATCTTTTCCAGATTCCTGTGGTGGTACCCAGACAGCTAAGTTTTGTCTGTACTCCCATTATATCTTGGAAGTAACTAACTTGTTTCTGATTTTACAGTCTCATAGGTGGAAGGGATTTGTCTTGCCTCAGATCAGACTCTGGACTTGGACTTTTGAGTCGTTAATGGAATGAGTTAAGACTTTGGAGTGACCATTGGAAAAGCATGACTGTGTTTGAAAATGTGAGAAGGACTTGAGATTTGGGAGGGGCTGAGGCAGAATTATATGGTTTGGCTCTGTGTCCCCAGCCAAATCTCATATAAAACTGTAATTTTCCATATTGCAGGAGGGGCCTGGTAGGAGGTGATTGAGTTCAGGGGGCAGACTTCCCCCTTGCTGTTCTTGTGATAGAGTTTTCAGATCTTGCTTGAAAGTGTGTAGCATTTCCCCCTTCTCTCTCTTGCCCACCATGTGAAGATGTGCTTGCTTCCCCTTTGCCTTCCGCCATGGTTGTAAGTTTCCTGAGGTCTTCACAGAAGCAGAAGCCTGAATGGCCTGCAGAACTGTGAGCTGATTAAACCTCTTTTTAAAATAAATTACAGTCTCAGGTATTTCCTTACAGCAGTGTGAAAATGGACTAATACAGGATTGGAGGAAAGTTAGAGAATAGGCTCAGTGAAAATATTGCATAGCCATCTTTGCCTTTGAAACTAGAAATGAAAATTAAGAGAGATAATTAACTTATTGATCCTAGGGTTGGAAAACTATAGTCCATAAGCCAAATCAGACCGTATTCATCCAATTACATATTGTCTTCTAGCTGCTGCACTACAATGGGAAAGGAGTGATTTCTACAAAGACCACATAGCTGAAAATGTAAAAAACTGGCCTTTTACAAGAAAAGGTTTACCAACACCTGGATTAAAATGCATTCTATACATTTATAGAGGAGATCTGAAACATTTTGGAAAAATATTATTTAGTATCCACTCCTATTTTGAGATTCCAAAAAGCATGGCATTTCGAAGATATGGTTATAAGCTTTATTTCTACTACTGGAAAGTCTGTGAAACCCAAGCAGTTTTTTAAATTCTCTGAATTTCAATTTCCTCTGTATAAACCAAGCATATCGATAACACCAAATTCTCATATATAATAAAGGCTAACTGCCCTGATATATTTGTATACAATCTATAAAGTCTGAACTATCTTAGTTTTAATAAGGAACACTCAAGAGTAACCCCACAACTCCCCAAATACATTATATCTTCAGAGAAACAATCACTTCTATTCATTTTTGTTAAAATTCTAAAGACTCTTGCCTCCAAATACCAACTAACATGCTATTTCTATTTTTTCACTTAGCAACTTGAAATTTATCTACTGAATTCCTGTTATAACAGGTAAGGAATTCATTTGTGATCTACTTGTAGTTTATCTTTCTATAGTTCTATTTAACAAAACTGAAGATTCGCATGTTAGTTTTCTACTTTTACCTCTTTTTTCTCCTATCTACCTTTCAACTTCTGTCAGCTCTACTTTTACTTTATGAAGATCAATAACATGATTCTGTTGTATCTAAAGTCATTGCATATCCTGTAATTTTTCCAAGTGAAGAGTGTTTTTCATAGAGTAATTGACTAACCTTAATAAATGTTTATGATATATTATAAAAGAGTCAACTGGCTACTTGTTATATTTAAATTAGTAAGTACTGTAAAATGTAGGGACATATATAATATGTACATACTATTAAAGATATTTTCTTACTTGCTTGTCTCAATGGGATGATTCTTCTTAGAGTCTTCACATTCACTGCCACCTTCTCTGGATCTACCTGAGAAGTCATCAAAGGCTGTGTTCAGAATCATTTGTGTTTTTATTTTAATGGTTCAAATACAGATTTTTTTTCTGAATGCATTGAGTGCTGTCACTGTAATTATATCTCAAACTGCAACTTACCAAATACAGTTTTTATTCAACTGGAAGAGAAAAATCATCATCTCCATAATACAACCACTTACTCTACTGCTTTTTAAAGTGAACTTTAAAAGGTTTGTTTCCAGCACCTTTCATTAATTCCAAGTGTGAGATCTAGGAATAATGACTTAACTTGTGCAAAATTTATTTGCCTCCACTGTTGTCAGCATGATGTTTCATTTCATATTAACAATAACTATTGCTTTCCTTCTCCTCCTCCTCCTCTTTCTCCTCCTCCTCTTCTTCTTCTTCTTCCCTTCTTCCTCCTCATCCTCATCTTCATACTCATCCTGATCCTCCTTCTCCCTTCTCCTTCCACATCTTTAGATGACCTATATTCCCAACTCTGGTAACTTTTAAGATATTTTTTAATATCTTGGGTTCTATAATTTCACATTCGTATTTTACTTCATTTTCATGATTCTTCTTTGGCTCTTGCCAGGCGTTTTCATGTTGAAATTGCATGTATTTCTGCATGCAGTGTAGTCAGTCTTTCTATTCATTTGCCAACTGTCTCCTACTTCATTTGTTCTGTTCTTTGTTTATGAAACTACTATTAATTAGGCATTGAACTTTTGGAGTTAACTCTTCTGTTTCTTATCTTTTTCACATTTTGTGCTGCACATTCTGAGAGATACGTTATTTCTTCAACCTTTTCTTCTCCTCTTTGCTTTTCCTGCAATTGTATCTTAAATTCCTAGAAACTCTTCTGGTTCTTCAATAGTTTATTTTTTATATTAGACTGTTCTTGTTTGGCAAATACAACATCTTCTTCCATTTCTCCAAGGACAATAATTTGAGTTTTTCTCCTTCATCTGATTTCTCAAAATCCTGTTTGTTTTCAATTCTATTTGATGCTTCATGGTTTTTGTATTCTTTTGTTTTTGTTCTTTGTTTCTGTTCATGCTAAAGTATTCCTCAGCTTTCTGGGGACACATATCTGTCCCTATTCAAGAATGAGGAATAAATAATTTGGTGTGATGCTCAGAGCATATAGATGAGTTTTGTTGATGGATAGGCTTTGATTTAGGGTCATGGACACAGAGCCCTAAATACCACAAGAAAGGCATTATTTTGTCATTCTAAACCTTATCCAGCTCCCAGGTTCTATCTACATGGTTCATTTTATTTAGAGAATGACTATAAGATTTTTTTTTAACCTGGAGTAAATACCAGGTTACTAGTAATCATGCTTGCTGGGATGGAGGGGTTACCTGACTGTTAATCTTTAATTAATCTCTCTTTCAGGCTTACTTCTTTTTTGCAGTATAATACTAGAGCTTCTCCAGAGCCCACCAGCTGGCCTGCAGTCCCTCCTGCAGTTAGTTCCCTCTACCTTCACTTTGAGCTCGGTCTTCCTGGTTGACTTCACAGTGCAACACTTTCCTATACACTTTCTCCTTCCAGAAATGTGGCAAATTCTCTGGTTTTCTGATAGTTTTCGGTTTTGTAGGTTTATATATATATATATGTGTGTATTTATTCTTTATTATCCTTTACCATCATTTATTGCATATTTGGAAAGTAGAAGAGAAACATGCATGAGATCAGTATTCTAAACTAGAATTTAACTTTTATTTTATAAATCTTTATGTATTGCTTTGAGTTTCCCAATGATTACATGTACATAAATAATAAGTTACAAAATTATAATTGGAAATAAAGTAGTACCTGGATCCCACCTCCAGGTACTTTAAAAGTTTAAAACTTTTAAAGTTTAGCTATTCACAAATCACCGATTCTCTCCCTTTGGCAAAGATGCTTCTGCCATTGTATTTTCTAAAAATAATTAAGATAAATAATTTTCAACTCTTTTTCTTTTCTAATACTACACAAACACATCTCAGCCCTTTTCCTCATTCCTTTCAAAAGATGTTTTCATTGCAATCTCTAAGAGTCTAATATTGGTTTATTCCATAATAAGTTAAAGAATCTGGACTTTGCAATTAAGAAGGCATGGAATATGTCTACTACTATCTCAAAACATCATTCATTCTGCACCAGTGTAGTGTTCTCAGGTCAGTAAAGAGTACATGGAACTTGGTATTGTAGTTATAGGACAGCTGCCCAAGTAGCCTCCTCTAAATTCATTTTTAACGCCAGCTATGGCATACTGATCTGAGCTGAGCTTTCATCTATTCCCTCTGCATCTGGCTCAAGCCATACTGGTATTCGATAATATTCAAATATTTTTTTTTTTTTTTTTTTTTTGCTTTTTTAATTCTTTCTTTTCTTTTTTCCTCCCTCCCTCAAAACATTGCTTTGGAAATACCAAGATTACCAGAATAGGGGATTTAGACTAAGTAAAACAAAACAAAGCAAAACTCAGGCTTGTTGAGTTGGGTAATCTACCCCACAGTCATACTTTGATATTTTTTCCTTCTTTGCCATTCCTCTACTCCCCTTTCTCTCCCTCTCTCATCCTGACCCCTTTCCTCTTTCTTCCCTTCTCCTCTACTTGTCTTTTCTCCTCACCTTTGTCTTCTACCTTTTCCTCCTAACACATTTCTCATCTTTATCCTTTGAAGTGAACTTCTTTGTGTAGCAAGGCCTCACTAAAGCTACCCAGGTTTCTGATAAGCAGGTTCAATTCTCAATGGGGCACGGCTGTCATCTGATATTATCAGAACTGGCTAAAGTCAGTGGCTAACAGTCAAAGATCTGATGAAAAAATAGGTGTTAAAAACACCAGCCTCAGCAGTTTAAGCGACAAGTCAAAGGGTTTTGAAACCAATACCATGCAGTCTTCATAGAAGAATATGTTAGGAAAGATGCTCTGAAGACCCCTTGTTTCTGAAACAGACAAAGCTCCTTGCTTTGGCAGAACTGATTCCAGACCTGAAAATCTCTAGAAACATTTAAGTGTTTTCCCCTTATTTTCCTCTGATGTGAGGACTTCCATGTTGAGTTATTTTTAATTCTAGAGGTGTGGTAAGTAATGTTAATGCTGAGATAGATGCCAGTTCATAAGAGTCTTGACAAAGGTATCTCTTTTGTAACTGTTTCAGCTTTCTGCACACTTTTTGCCCTTTTGCCTTTAAATGGATATATCAAGAGGCTGGTTTGGTTAACTTAATATATTAAACCTAAGTGGCAGGATTCTGGTTTCATATTGTGCAATGCAGGTTAAAGGGGAAAAACGTGTTTTGGATTCTCAGACTAGAAGTTATTAATACATAGTAGTTCTAATACACAGTAGTGAGAGCTTTTGAGAGAAAATGATGAATTTAAACTATGATGAAAAGGGAAAATATCTACTGGAAGCAAATAAGCTTTACTGATGTGTAGTCTTCTTACCATGCCTGGCCCCTACCACAGGTGAGGTATCAAGAAACTAAAAAGAAAGTACAACCCAATGACTTCAGGTGCAAGAGTCCTGAGAAAATGAACCCACAGAGGAAAATAGGTTTAGACAGAAAATTGAGGCAATGACTGAGTGTTGCTTTAAGCCCTTGGTATTTATTATATTTCTTCCTGAAAAAAGAGTTTGCAGTCTAGAAATTAACATTTTATGTTTCCATATGCTTGAGCATTTTTGAATGCTATTAAGAATGTCCACAGACAATGCAGGTCACATTGAATATTTACACTACACTTGCTAGGGCATATTTTTGAAACCTCATTTCTATTTTTGTGAGCTAAAATTTTGCAGGTGGTAAGGTGGTAGATGCAAATATCATAATGTGAATATGAGCCAATTAACCAACAACCACATTTTATGAGGTTGCAACCACCTAATTGTTTTGTGTCTGTAGCTAATTATTTCTGGGAGATATTTCTGCATATGGAAAAGGAATCTGTTATTATAATTGAGTGTACAGCAAAACAAAAGTTCTGCTGTAAGTACATCAAGGCCAAGGATCACATCTCTGTGTTTTATAAAATTACGTAAATCACTTTGGACCCATGGATTCTAAATGAATATAAACTGCTAAGGTGACATGATTTTAAAGTTTGGAAAATGACTAGCCAGCTGCAGTGAATAATACCCAAGATATAAAATATCAACAAAATTTTGAGTGGTTGGTATTGTTATTAACTCATTGATACATTTTCTTACAGACTCAGAGAATTTTTCAGCTGGAAAAAAATCTACTCTAATATTTTTATCTTGAAGTTTGAAAATTATGGTCATGATAAATTATATGACCTACCCAAAGACCTGTGATGCTATTAGGCTTAACTCCTAAGAGGCACAATGTCTAAACCAGTGTCCCACAGAAAACGCTCAGCACTAACATCTTAAAGTATGTAAGTTCCTAAATGTTAGAGGTAATACATGTCAGCAGAAAACATGTCTATTAAACCCATGCATGCCAGGCCTAAGGGAGCTCTGACAAGTTTATTTAATTACAGGAGGCTAAACTTGTTCTTATAAATTGGTCTGTCCAGACAAAGTCATGGACAAAGTATGCAGTTTTATGCAGATAGGTTCTATTTTTGTTATTATTGCAGCTGCTCATTGATATTTTAATGCAAGTTTTTATTGAGCTATGCCCTGAGGCTTTTAAAATTGAGGGTTCAATTATTTATAAAATCTAATAATTAAGTAAATTAATGAAACTAGTCAGAAATCTGGCAACTTGACTGTACGGATTAGACCCAAGAAATACTAATGGAAGAGACTTTTTTCCCCCCTTTACAGGAAAATCTTTTACAATATTTTAGACTATGTTTTTTCTAGATGTACAGAAAACATCTTAGGCTGAGGCTGATATTTACAGATGAACCAGTGCATAAATGCAGGTCAGAGATAGAGCTTAACAACAAATGTGGGTGGGCTTGGTAGACCTGGTAATCTAAGTTGCCCCTCTTGCCAAAGCAATTTAGAGTCTTACCAAGTACGGTTTCCAGAAA